TTTATCATTTATTGGTGGGGAGTGGGGAACCAAGTTTCCCAAAGAGAAGTTAAATGCTACATTATAAGCTGTACAAAGTGATGGGTTCAAGGTGAGAAGGGGAAACTCATCCTGGGTTCTGGCCTCTGAGTCCAGTGTGATCTGCTTTTCACAGTGACCAGTGGGAAGGCACAGTGCCAGGGACAGGTAGATGGGGAGAGCTGTCACCCATCGTATAAGCACCATAGAGAACAGTTGGATTTCTTTCAGACTGTGTCCATCTGAAGGAAACCACATTTCTGCTACACTGATTTTTCTATCTTTGAACCCTCAACCTTCTCTTTGTGTCTCGGGAGGCAGTGCATAAGTGGGTTCCATCCCCAAATTATGAGGAACCAGGAAATCTGAATGTTCTCCCTATTTCTCCCTTTACTCAAGTAGGCTGACAGGCCAAAAATCCAGAGTTCTGATTTTAAGGTTTCTTTAAGGGAAAGGAAGATACTGACGTTCCTGACTGAACTAGTGGATCCATTTTAAGTTCTGCTATTGGATCACAAAATAATGCGACAGGCTAAGAATTGTGCATGCATATCTAGGCAGATGAAAAGCTGGTGGATGAGCTGGAACACACTTCGTTAGCCTATAATATGGGAACGTTTTCCTTTGCTAGGGCAGGAGGATGGGCAGAGTGGTGGACTGTGGTAAGGCTAGTATTTGCTTAGCTGTTTCAGAAAGGATTCCCTAGAGGTTTAGGGATCAGCAAGCCAACTCACTAGGGCAGAGGTTGACCTAACTTCACAGTCCATCTGGGAAATTCCTTTTAAGGAATTTGTTTCATTCCTTGTTTAAAACATAGTATGTGTTTATAATTAATCTTTTACTGTTTCCTAATCCTCCCCCACCACTCTCCCCTGCTCAAAATCTTAAAATTCCAGTGCGATACACTTTGCATAAAGTTCAGCAATATTTCACAGTACTCCACAATGTTCTTCAGGGGCTACTCTTTTTGGAGTCCCACAGGCTGTTGCTTTTGTCTTTCCACTAATAGGAAGACTTCAGCAAATCTAAGGTCAGAAGGCCTGTCTGATGACACCATGGCACTGACATGCTGAGCAACAGCAAGGCCTAAATGCACTTCAAACCAACTTCATAGTCAAATGCTAACCCAGTCCTCTGCACTAATCAACTTTTTCCTCAACCTACTTTTTCTTTTTGCACACACCACCTATTTGAAGTTCAAATTATCAATAAGTTATACATAATACATGAATGAAATTTTCTGTGGTGTTGAGAATACTGAGAAGACAGACTGCTATATTTGAACTTGCTCTTAAACACAAATTTCTTTCATGAAATTAGAAGTCACTTGGTAGCTAGTTAATTTGAACAGTGGTTTTCACTTTTTATGGGTAATGCAACAATTCTCCCCTCCCTATTACCAGGTGTGAGGTTGCCAAAGGCAGTAACAAACCCTGACTGCCATGAAAAAAACACCTTTACTACCTGGGGTAAGAAGAATGGAAGATATGGAATCTCATTGGGAATTACTGGGTGATGTCTTTTGTCATACTGGAACAAAGATGCTAAAATAACTCATTTCACATTTCATATAATATTCAGAAACATTTATGCCTTAGTTAATTTCATTTACAAAGAAAGTCAAGGAAAAGTGAGTCACTTAACACAGAAATCCCACTGAGAAGACAAACCAGGAGACAATGTATCAAGATGGCCCCAAGCATGATCCTTCTCTTCCCCATCACCAATGCTACCTCACTGTTTACAAGTAGCTCTTTTAATACATTCAAGGACTCTATTTCAGCTACCAGAGTTGAAAAATCTCTACTCAGCCCTCCCACCCCCAATAAGCCTGTGATCCCAACGACTCAGGGAAGCTGTGGCTTCGGCAGGAGGATCGAAAGTTCAAAGCCAGCCTCAGCAATTTAGCGAAGCCCTAATCAACTTAGTGAGACTCTGTCTCAAAGACAAAAAATAAATAAAAAAAGGGCTGGGGATGTATGTAGCTCAGTGGTTGAATACCCCTTGGGTTCAATCCATGATTGCCAAAAAACAAAAACAAAAACAAAAACAAAAAAAAACCCAAATCTGTATTCACATCACAAATTTGCTTTGCTTACTCAGGCACACTCAGTATTTGGTTTAGAGAAGAAGCTGGATGGATCACAACAATTCCGTCCAGAATTACTCTGAGAAATGGATGTTTCATTTATCATCTGACCCTTGGCCCTCTATAATGCCAGGATATCAATCAAGATATTTTATGAAAAGAGAACTAGCTTGAGACTACCTAGTTAGGCAGTGATTCCCCACCCTGGCTGCATATCAGAATCATTTTTTTTTTTTTTGGCACTGGGTATTGAGTGGTGCTCCACCACTGAGCTACATCTATAGACCTTTCTATTCGGAGACAGGGTTAAGTTGCTGAGGTTGGTCTCAAATTTGCAACCCTCCTGCCTCACCCTTGGGAGCAGCTGGGATTACAGGTGTGCACCCCATGCCTGAAACAGGAAGCTTTTTAAAGCCCAAGCTGAACAACAGACCAATTAAATGTGAATGTCTGGAAGGGGTCTCATCCAAGATAGAGAACCACTGGCCTAGGTTAACAGGTTTCTTAATAGAAAGCATAAGTTCAGTGTTCATCCAAGCCAGAGCGTGTTAAAAATCTATGGCTTCTTTCTAGACTCATGGATTTAATATGCTTCAATGAAACTACCTAGGTATTTTTCACTTTTTTCCCCCTAATTAATCCCTTTGTCCAGAATAGGCAGCAACATCAACAGTAAAGTACTGATTTAGGTTAAGTCTGCACCTTAAGTATGAATTATAGCAAAACATAAGGAGGCAAGCCTGGGACAAGACTCTGAGCACAATCAATCAAAAAGCCAGAGGGAAAACTTTTCCTCAGCAGGAATTAATTCCTGAGTCTAGCATGTTAGCATGGCTGTTAGGCTGAGAACTAGTCATAGTTTGCCACCTCATCTCCTCAGGATTCATGCTGCGTTCCAGCAGGAATTACTCTATCCATTGTAACCCTTCTTTGGAAGTTTACATGTTCTCTACTCCCCACTTGCTTACCAGTAAATACTTATCTATTAGTGCCCCAAAGTCACCCCTAAAACATCTGAAATGGATCATGCTCTCATTTCCACTCCTGATAGAGAATCCCTGTTAGACACACCACCAATCACACCATGGGAATGAAGAAATGGAACACACTCGAGATGACTGCTGAGGCCAGCCCTAACCCGTGGCAGTCGCAAGTCCCCAGTTCAAGAGATAGGCAGGCTGACTGGACTCAGTGTGTTATGTGCTAATGCCCCAGCAGGAAAAGACAGCGGAAGCCAGTGGATGCTACACTGGACTTTAATATTAGGTCCGCCTAGAGGCCTTTTATTACTAAAACCAAATCTCCATTCAAGTGAAGCCATCTTGTCTATTACAACAGTATCAGCAATAAAAACAAGACTCTCTCTTTGGAGTGATTAAAAGCAAAACAGCTCATCTGAAAACCTTTGTCATGCACACATCCATGTAAGATATTGGCAGAGACTCATTATCAGGAAAAGATGGTTAATATTCCAGTCCTGCCAAAATGGACCACAAATGGCAACTAAAAAAGAAAACTGGCACTCAAACAAATATTTCACCTCATTAGAAAGCACTGGGTGCATCCTTAAAAACAAATGGCGCCCACCTCCACAGGCTACTCTTGGCAAGCAGAAGCCAGTGGATAGAAGCGCTAAGCCTCAGTGTCCCGACACTTTTCATTTTGGCAACACATAAAACATTAATATCTGCACATAATAAGAATTTCAGACACTGCAGCCTGTGTTCTGGGCCTGGTTATCCTTTGCTTGCTTCAGAAAGCTCCACTCTTTCTTCAGCCAAGTGCTCAGAGGTAGAGGAGCTGAAGTGAGATATGGAAGAGAAAGGGGGTGGACAGTAGCTGAGGGAATCCAGCTCCTGCCTAAGGACAATCTTGAATGTGCTCAGTCTCTAGTGGGAGGTAGAATATTCTACACTGACTTATCTGCCTTCACTAAATACCTTTTTCTCACATGCGTACATAAATGCGCATACATACAGCTGGCAACTCAGCAATACTGCCATTCACAGCCACAGGAAGCCTACCCACAGTTACTTTCAACTAAATCTCATATCAATCCCCAGTCCTTCTCAGGTAGATGCAAGCCACTTTTATTTTTCCGAGGTCTTTACTTTTGCCAGGGTTCTAGACATATATTTCATTGTAACACCTACATCTTTTGTTTCTAAAGAACAGCTGCACTAAGTGGGTACATTGTGTTATAGCATCTTTATAAATAGAAAGTGCAAGAAATAATTTTCTTAGCCAAAATACAAAGCTAACAAAAATCTGTCACAGCCTACTATGCCAAGAATTTGATTTTTAGAATCAATAAGACAGCTAACAAAATGCTTCTATGCTACCAAGCTCATGGTGGATGAGTAAATATATTTATAAACATTTATGAAAAGTTATTAAGAAAATAGCTAAACTTCCCACAAAAGTTATTTGTGTGAACTATCTTTAGTATACCATTCTGTGTTCAATGCACATGCATATACATTTGGAATTATATTAGTGCTATTTTTCCTGGGCCAGTTTTCCAAAAAGAAAACAGGCTAATTCTTAAAAAATTCAAGTTACATGATTTAAAATTATTTTTGTAAAAATATTAGAAATACCATATAAATTCTAAATATTTATGCTATCTGATAGCCATTCCAGGGGTGGATTTAGCCACACTTTTAGTAACCTCTGTTTTAGCACTTGGCTTCCAGAGGAAACATTTTAAGCTTTGTCCCTGCAAAACATTTCTGTTTCTGAGTGGTTCTTAACCACTAGAGTTCCTATGACTCTATAGAAAACTCGTAGATCACCTTCAAATATGTCATCAATATCTGCTTCAAGAAGTGGCTAAAAGCACACATCTAAACCTTAAGCAATTTCTACTCACTTGAGTTGTTGTGATTGGCTTGAAATGGTTTAGACTTGTGATGCTGAAAAGAAAGAAAATAATGTCAATCTATGATTCCTTTTTTTTTTTCTGATCTTGTTCTTTTTCATTTCAAGACCACAGAGCTTATTTCTTGTGCAACCACCCAATGAATTCAAACTTAAGAGTCACAGAGAATCTAGAGAAGGGCCCAAAAGCTATAACATAAAGATTTTCATTCCTTGGGACTGTTTTCAAAGGCTTTCTTTGTCACAAAGGGCAGATTTTGAGGTAAGTGGATTATGCCAGGGTGGAAATGAGGATCAAAAAGAGAGTTTTAAGACTGTTATTTTCATATATTAAAACATTGCTCCAATCTTTTTTTTTGTGTATGTGGTGCTGGGGATTGATCTCAGGGCCTTGTGCATGAGAGGCAGGCACTCTACCAATGGAGCTATATCCCCAGCCCCTGCCCCAATCTCAACATGATAAAATGTGATTAATCTTTATGCTTTAGAATAACCTTAATCATTCCCTCTCTGGTTATCCACTGCAAATGCCAAATGTCTTTTTCCCTTCCCAGCATTTTGTAGAGCCTGAAATTAAGTCTTTGGCCATGAGCACCACTTTTATTTCCTGCAAAATTGCAATTCCTGAGGCCTGACTTTAGACAGAGATCTCTTTCTATTCGAGAACTGGAGCTGGCCAGTAAGAAGTCTCTACAACTAATTCTCCAGGATCCACTGCCCAGGGAGTAGATAATCTCAAAACTTTTTTTTCTCTTCATGTTCTGCTTTGGGGATGAATGTTCACAGACTAAAACTCACTCTCTGCTCATATTTCTTCTCAAGGCAGGAATAGTCTCATTTTTTTTCCTAATTATTATTATGAATCAGAAAGAGTTTAAATAAAGCATGCTAAATCTGATAAATGTAGCCCCAAATCAAAAACTTCAGTGATTTATTTAGAATGACAGAAGCTAGTAGCAACTGCTAATTTGTAAAGATTAATGAAATATAAAACTGGGCAATAGATTTTCCTGAATAAAAGGTAGTTAAGCACAAAATTATGCCAGAGGTGTGGAGGTATAGAAGAGACCAAGACAAACAGGTAAAACTTTTAGTATTGTAACAATATGATCCACCCAGTTACACAATAGAAACTCCTATTAAAAACAAATTAGTAGCCATATTTTTCCATACCAYAGGAGTTTCCACCCATTTGTAGATGTAAAATTTGGCTGTCATTTCTAATAAACCAAATTCTCCAACAGTAAGCTTTTTACTCTGGAGTTTATTTGGATCAGCATTGATAGTTGTTGTGGCTTCACAGCAAATACGGGCAAATGCTCACAACTTTGAATACAGCACAAAATGAAAAAAATGGAAATTTTGCTATAAATTAAACTTGGGAGGAGGTGAGCAACTAAGGAAATGTGCTACAGGTGTTTGTCTCATTCTCCTTGTAGATCCTTTACTGACCAACAGTAGACAGAATAAATGGTTTCCATGTTACTAACAATTGATAGAAGAATTAAGAAAAAAACAACCTAATGCTACATGTAAGATATTAAAGGTCCCAAATCCCTGACTTGTATTTCATAAAATGGTAGGTTACTTCCTCTCACTTCAGATCTCAGCTGACCAGACTTCTCTGAGAATAGTAAGATGGTGACTCTTGACAGTTATGGACCTTTAAGAGGACTAGCACTTTCTACCCAGCATCTCAGAAGCCTGTGCTGCCACATTACATCTGAGTGCCTTCATGAAGAACATTTAGAGAGTACCTGATATTCAGTGAAAAGGGAGAGAAGCCCTGCTGGGTCCAACCTTGCAACTCTCCCTACAAAAGGTATCAAGCATGTGAATGAGATCATCTTGGACCCTCCAGACCAGTCCAACATCTGCTGAATACCACCAAGTGAACTGAGGCATCACCATAGGAAGCAGAAAATTGTCCAGAAAGCCCTTAACTTCTGATTCACAAAATCATGATATTTGAAATGGTGGTTGTTTTAAGTCATTGAGCTTTAGAGTAGTTCATTGTACAGCAAGAGGTAACTGGAAAATATTTTTTAATATTTGCCTTGGTACTAATTTACTCACTCACAATTAGACCTAGCAAATGGGTGATTCATCTGAATCAGTGGGCAATATCCCCAGCAAACATTTACCATTCAGATCTGCTCAGAAACCAATGGCATTATCTTTTGAAGAGCTCTTATAATCTTTTACTCTTCAATTACAAATTCACAAAAACAAGTACCGTATTGGCTACTGTATAATCCAGCTCATCCTAACTCAAGCAAATGACACGAGTAGTGAAGATGGTCTGGTCTTTGGAATAAGACTGGTAAATACTGGCTCTGCAATTTACCAGCATGTAACCTTGGGCCTGTTGGGTTCCTCATTTATAAAATATGGAATAATTTCACCTACTAGAGGTAACACAGACTATTAAGTGTCAGGTTAGGCTGTGTTGCTCAAAATATGCCTGTTTCTTTTCCTCTAAAATGAGGAAATGGGAGTGTTCTAAGTTTTGGATGCATTAAGTAAGGTAAAGCATACAGAACTAAGCACACAAGCATATAAAACAGCTGGCTATTTTTAATACTGTTATCACCTCATAGGATTACTGGACTGACTACAATTATGCCTCTAAAGCACTCAGTACAGATAATTCTGGACTTTTCTTTTTGAATATTACCTCGGTGGTGAAAAGTACAGGCTTTTTAAAAGCATATATCCCAGACTCCAAAAGCAAGTTTAGGACTCTAAAGTCTGGGAAGTCACATTTAAACTATGTCTAAAGTCAACTTTGTTTTACAAATTCCAGGCATGCTGCCTAGTACCAAAGTACTTAATATTTATTTAATGGAACAGCTTTTCCTATATATTATCTATCATGGAAGACGAGTGATTTCAAATAGGAAACAGGGTCCTACAGATACTTTTAACTTCTGGCATTATGGATTAATTCAGATCCTAAGCTTCACAGTATATTAAATTGTGGTGTAGGCCATATGAGATGCTGAACACGAGATTCTCCTAACTGGATGGTGCATTCTAGCCTCTTCAACAGGACCTACTGAGTAGACATGAAGATAACAAGCATTTTTTTTTCCCCATTAAGTGCTCTGACTTTCTAATAGCTTTGTTGTTTAGAACAAAGCTTTTTGAGCTAGTGGGTTTCCTTTCATTGGTTAGGATGGGAAGTATTTGTTACATAGGTAACGGGACAGACATAAGATAGGAAACTTATTCACATATGTACCCCCTATAAGATGTAGATTTCAAGTAATGTTTCTTAAGCACTGCTGTGTGTCACAGTTGAAGAAAGACAGTCTGCATAGACAATAAAACTAGATAATCTGTGCAGACATCTTTCAGGCTGGATATCATGGTCCCTATCAATAATTACTTTCTTTGGAATGTAACAAATTCAGATGTTTCAAAGTACTCATAATATCCAACTCCAGCTTGTCCTGAGCAAGAAAGCCTACTTACTTTATAAGTAAAGAGACTGGCCCTTGGAAAAGCACCATTTGAAAATAAGAAGTCTATACAGCATGAGGTCCTGGGTTTGATCCCCAGCACCACTGCAAAACACAAAAAATAAAATAAAATTAACAAGTCTGAAGACAGGAAAAAAAAAAAGTAGGAAGCAAAGGAAAAAGACTGCAAATTATCAAAGAAGTCACAATGCTTAGCAAACTCCAATGTTTTCAGTTTCAATTTCTCTCACAAGTCCTACATCCCAGATTAATCAGAATTCCAGGTAAATCAGAAAATTAATACTCTCAAATACTAAGAAGCCATGATTACTATGGTATAAGTGCTCTAAGAGAAGGCAGATCTAATCTAGGCAAACATTCTGGAACTTTATGAGGATTACCTATTATTCAGAGAATATGTCATATTAAAATTTACAAATATCCAATTAGAAGAGGGCAACTTTAAGCATGAGGAGGTACCTTATAAGAGACACTTACCTACCTGAACTTGGCATATGCTGGTAGGACTCACAACAAAAAAATCAAACTCATGGGACTATTTCAGCATGGTCTGGAAAACTTTGTCCAAATAAAAAAATTTAAATTCAGAAGCTCACATACTGCTTCCAAGAAGCAATTATATTTCCTCTTGCATGGATTTCTGTTTATTAACACCCTAACATTTTCTATTTTATCCCCATCTGATATAAGTAAGCTATTTTAACACTAAGAATGAAGATTCATAAAGCAAAAATGTAATGGTCCAATATAAGCTCAAAAGAATTACAGACAACAACACAGATAGGAATATAAGTCAAACAAGATTGTTTCACTATTTTAAAATATCCAGAAAAAGATAAAAAACAAAAAGGAGAAAAATTTGGCTTTTTACTACTCCACATAGGAATAGAGTAAGTTTACTTGAGGAAATTAAACTGAAGATTTATAAGAAGGAAAAGTTATAGGTTTCTAATCTAGGAAACTGTGCTTTGGATAAGAATCAAAATACCTATTCATTGGCTGGGTGTGGTGGCAAGCCAATAATCCCAGTGACTCAGAAGGCTGAGGCAGGAGGATGGCAAGTTTGAGGCCAGCCTCAGCAACTTAGTGAAAGCCTGTCTAAAAACAACTTTTAAAAAGGGGTTGGGATATAGCTTAATGGTAGAGCACTTGTATAGCTTGTACAAGACCCTGAGTTCAGTCCCCAAAACTGCCCAGAGAGAATGAGAGAGAGAGAGAAAGAGGGAGAGACAGAGAGAGGGAGAGAGGGGGTGAAAGGAGGGGGACAGAGAGAGAGAGAGGGGAAGAAAGAAAGGAAGGAAGGAAGGAAGGAAGGAAGGAAGGAAGGAAGGAAGGAAGGAAGGAAGGAAGAAAAAAAGAGATGCTTAACATGACGGTATGAATATAAAACTCTGACCAAACTATTATAACAAATTTTGGGAAGTAAATCTTCTAAATCTAATTCAGGAGATTGCAATTTTTTCTGTCAAAATTCTAGACAGTAAATATTTTCAAGCTTTGCTGTTCATGTACTCAACTTCATTATTACAGTAGAAAGAAACTGTAAACAATACCTAGGTGAATAGGTGTGGCCCTGTAATCATCTAACATGATTTTCTTTATACAGTAGGTGGCCTTAAGATTTGAGTCCAGGGCTATGGTTTGCTGAACCCTGACCATAAGCCCTAGGGATATACTTTGCTAAGGGGTACGTTCTTAAAATTAGGAATCTACCTGAAAATTGCTTACTGTCCCTTTTCTAAATCTTAGCTAACAAATTAGTTCAATGGTTTATTAATTATTTTTTGCAGTATTGGGAATCGAACTCAGAGACATTCTACCATTAAGCTACCCCTARACTTTTATTTTTAGACAGGGTCTCACTAAATTGCCAAAGTTGGCCTTGAACTTGTGATCCTCCTGCCTCAGCTTTTCAAGTTGTTGGGATTATAAGTGTGTACTACTGTACCCAGCTTATTTCAACATTTTAAACAATTTCTCATATGGCATAAGTAAAGAACTGCACTTTTAAAGAGTAAGTTCAATAAAGACTCATCTGTCATTCTTTGAACAAATAAGGAGAACAATTGAGAAGAGAAAAAAATCATGCCTGCTGTATCTGAAAAACGAACATCTAGGATTCTGACTCCTTTCTGATGCCTTTTCCACTATGATTAAGACTCAATTGCATTTACTTTTCTTTCTCCATTTCTTTCATTTCTTGGAATTTGATCTTCTAGTCAAACAAAATGTAGTTTTCACCCATTAAAAGAAACATAATTAGTGTCATGTAACAGCTAAAACTTTGTAAAAGTCATTTCACAACCACAGATCACTCAGCTATAAGAAATGAAGTTCCAAATTTCACACTTCACCAGGTAACTTCCAACCAAAGTCAGTCATCAACTATGAAATGAGGAAACAGCCTAGGTCTACTTTCATACCACCTTTGTAAAGTCCTGCTTCACTGATAGAGGGAACCTGAAACACGAGAAAGTGCCAAAACACAGGAAAATGTTAACTGCTATCTCTCTTCTTTTCCAATCTTGATCCTTTACAAACTATTTTTTTATACATTCACCCTTAGATTTAACTCTTTAGCATAATAAATGGTGTGGGGTAGACTGCAAGTTACATAAAGTAAAATGCAACGCAGTTCAGAGGTAAATATGGTTTTGAGTAAAGAGAGAACAAGTCATTAGAAAGAGCCTTTCTGCCTAAGTACAGTGTCACCGTCATGCCAATGCTACATTTTATACAGATATCAGAGTTCAGAGAGAATGAAAGGTACATCCTAAAATGAAAATAGGTTAATATGTTGCCATATGTCTTCTTCTGCAGAGAATACTGGATAGCTCCTTTGCTATTAAGTGCCACTCAATAAATGAAAACAGTCCCAGTGTTTGCAATCTCATGGCACTGGTACTTAATGATGAATTAGCTCTCATTGCTAATGCTGCTCTCTTCTCAAGGTGACACGTGCAAGTTAAAGTTTGGTAACGAGTTTTCAGCATTAGCTAACGTCCATTTAGTATGTCCTTAAGAGGTATTGTCCATGCACCCACCAATACAAGCATTCATTAATGTACATAGAACTTAAACTCCTATGACCCTAAGAGTGATGTTAGCTAAGAAATAGGACAAATATCACAGTGAACCTGGAAAAGAATCTTGGATAGATAATTAGAATAATATCTCTTCTAACTAAGCTAGGGAAATTGCTTTTAGAAGCTTCAATTTGTTTACAAGCTAGCCTGGCTTGAATTTTCAGGAATTTCATGGCTCTTGCTAGGCCTAAGGGGAGAGAACAAGCGAACCTGATTGTGCTAATGTGGTCCTAGATAACCAGGAAGTGCTCCATTCACAGTATCAACACAGTAAAAACCTGTAAGAGGAGAATGAAAAGGGAGGGGAACCCAGCAAACGCACAGCATCTGCATACCACTTAGACCCTACTTAGGCAGGATGTTTGTTTTTAACCCTGGATGGAGCACTGCCAGATGCTGCAGTTTCTTGTTACAGAAATTACTGCACTTCACCTTTACAATTTGGTAATAGTGTAAAAACTCTATTTTCTCATATATATTCTAAGAAATTAACAAAGCAATACAGAACTTTTCCACATACTATTTCTCAGAAGTAGGGAGGAACTTGAAAACTTTTTTGGTAGGCTTAAAAGCTCCATCTTCTGTCTTTCCCATCCCTGCCTATGTAGTAATGGCAAATTCTGTCACTGAAAGCCTCTTGACTGCTGAGACGTTTTCCTAAGGATGCGAGTCTAATCTCAACTCCATGTTTTCGATGCCACAGAGCACAGCCAATTCCCAATATTGCTCTACGGGACAGTTTTCACCCTAGCATGCTGTTGCCCAACAAGGGAGGAGAAGGACCCACTGGGTATCCTGAAGGCCGACACAACCTCAATGCTGCCCTTCAGGGTAGGCTCTTATCAAATGGCAGCAACATCACATTCCACTAAAAGATGAATTTCTACACTTTTCCAGAAGAGAAAACCTTCCTCTAGTGAAAGAATGCAGCTGTATGCATATGTACAATTCTCAGATTGCTTAAAGCTATGCTTTGCATTCTAATTTATCACCAAAAAAAAAAAAAAATCTTTTCTATCCACCTTTCCATGTACCACAAAATATCCTCAGGAAAGGAGCACGTGACTAACATTCTCACAAATGGCTCACCAGTGCAGGAATGACCAGCCTTCTCCCAAATCTCTTTCACAATCATCTATGTCTCTGCACCAAAACAATTTGTTAAATCATTACATATTCAAATATTTTTTTAAAAATCAAGAGAAGTGAGAGATTTTTCTCTTGTTATTTGCACTGTGAGTTTTAAGCATTTCTTTGCCTGCATCCCTTAATGTTCCAATATTTTCTCTTTTCTCTTTCCATGTAAACCAGGGCATCAAAAGCTCTACATGTTTGGTAAGTTCTTTATCTCACTGCTGGATTAAGAATCTCAGAAAAACCCAGAATTACTAAAAAGGTCCCTTGAAGTTTTAAAAATCTTAGGAATGATTAAGTAACCAAACCTGATCAAAACTGATCCTTTGATCATTTATTGCAACATGATTGTGCATGATGTTTTCTGGTAAGTGCCCTGTAGTGCGTTATTAAAAATCAAAGTTCTTGGAGTCAGCAGCAATTTGCTGATGGTTGGTTTATGAATTTCTAGGTTTGCAGACTCGAGACATAGATTTAAATGAGGTTCTTCATTGGACTGAAAATATAAACTACTACATATGTAGAAGTAAATGAAATTGTGGTTGCAGTAAGAATAATAGTGCTAAATCTCTTCAACCACAATATTGCAGGAAAAAATCTGTCTAAAACTTCATATAAAAGTTATCAAACGTGACGACCTGTGGATTTAAAAATACAACCCAGGCTCAATTCACTGGAAAGTGACATTTCTGATGTACAATATTGCTGTTATGTGAAACTAGGAGCCAAAGAGACTGGATGAAACTTTGGTAGTCAGCCTAACAGGTTAATTCATCTGAACTAGAGCCATTTCCTTAACACCAAAGGATTCATGAGCACTATGCTGAACAAATACCAGTCAGGAAGCTGCAGTTTGGCTCTGTGCTGTTCAACATTTGTAAAACATGGAAACATTTCCTTCCCTGCTCCTCTCTTCCTCAATACATCACTCAAGCCCCCAAGTGCAGCTATACCTATTGCAAACACTTTGCTACTCATTTTACTTCCAGGTGCCTAAAGTGCTTCAGGTGAGGCTGCCCACTAGAATACTGCTCCAAGATGGCTGACGACATGAGTCGATCAGGCAAAGTATCAGATGCCTAGTCAGGGCAAAGATAAAGTCTAACCTTGCAGAACAGTAAGAACCACCAGTATTCACTCTTTTTTTCTTGATGTGAAAATGCACATTACGGCAGGGAAGGAAGAGGAGAGATTCTTCCTCCTCACCATGACTACCTCCTTCTCTCTCGTGGCTGGCTGCTTCAGATGGCCAAGACTCCTGTTGCATTTTTTAGATCCTGGCAATTATAGCCACCAAGATGTTATGGACCAAAGTACAGTGTTCAAACACAACTGGTAGATAAATGACCATTTATCATAGTTTTGCTAAAAAAAAAAGTTTTTCTTATAAAGTTAACAAACCAAGGCTGTTGATCCCTGAATTAGAAAGTTGATTTGCTTGATTTTTTCCAAAGTGTGAGGAGGGAAGGAGGAGGGGAAGAGCCTTTAGTGCTTCTGTGTATGTTGTTGATCCTCTAGTTTGGCAACATCTTGGGAGCATCTTCTGGTTTAATGAGGTGGCATTTTGTGAATCTAAGTACCAGTCCATGGCCCTGATGCAGGCTGTTTACGGCCCAAAGGGGAAGAGGGTCTGCCCCCTTCCCCTCAATGTCTCAATCTGGCCCAGTGGTGGACACAGAGCCCTGGGCAGTTTCCCCAGGAGCAACTGTCTCTTCCCGGGAAGGTGACTCTTCTTCAGCTTGTCCTCGAGATGTGACAGTTGTTTCAGGAGAGATGCTGTGAGGCCCCTCCAGGGGTATACAGCCAGGGTGGTTTTTACGAAAGTGCTGATTCAAGATGGCCTGGAAGGGAAAACTTTTGCCACAGACATGACAATGAAAGGGCTTGTTGCCTGTGTGCTTGCGAATATGATACTCCAGCTGATCTTTCCGGGTATACTTCTTGCCACACATGCGGCAGACAAATGGTGTGATCCCCATATGTAGGCGCATATGGCGGTCTAGGCTCCCCTTTTGGTTGAAAGATTTTGCGCAATAGATGCAGGTGAGACGGGGATTGTATCGGAACCACCGTTCAGATACTTCCTGTTCTCGGAGATACTCCACATAGCCACTTACTCCCATCATTGCTGATTCTTCTACCTGTTCCAGGAGAGGAAAATAAGCAAGAATAAACTAAGCATTCATGTTAAAAGCAATCAAAATATTCTCTATATATTTATATATGTATGTGTGTGTGTGTGTATATATTTTTTTAATGGCACTGGGAATTGAACCCAGGGTTTCATATGTGCTAGGCAAGTGCTCTACCCTTGAGCTTCTTCCCTGGCTCTTTTCTTACATTTTACTTTTTGAGATAGGGTTTTGGTAAGTTATACAGGCTGTCCTCAGACTTGCCATCCTCCTACCTTAATCTCCTAAGTAGCTGAGATTATAAACCTGTACCACCATACCCAGTTTTTGATTAACTGAAATATAAATTCAAACACCACATATGACAGCAGCCAATGGATACTGTGTCAGACAGTACAAAAGAGATAATGGCAAACATAATATAAATTATATTTATGACATCATTATTACCATATTTCAACCAGCAGCAGCTAACTTTATAAAAATGTATATAATTTATAGGTGATGATATGCCTTTCTACCCCAAAATATTCTGATACCATATCAATAGATTATCTTCATTCTAAAAACTCCTCAAACTGGGCATGGTGGTGCATGTCTGTAATCAAAGTTACTGAGGAGGCTGAGACAGTAGAATTACAAGTTGGAAGCCAGTCTTGGTATCTTAGTGAGACCCTGTTTCAAAACAAAATAAAGAGGGATCATGATGTAGTTCAGTGGTAGAGTACGCCAGGGTTTAATCCTCATTACTGCGAAACAAAACAAAACAAAAAGAAAATAAAAAATTACTCAAAGTTTAACTGATTTCAGAGTGAAGTTTCTCCTATCTGAAAGCTGGGAGGGAGAAGGAATATATTCCTTTTGAGAATTATTTAAAATTTTAGATTTATAAATGCTTTTTGGTTCAAAAATTCTGTATTAAAATCTCACTACTCAGAAATTACTTACTGAGGGGCTGTGGTTGAGGCTCAGTGGTAAAGTGCTTACCTAGCACTTCAGCACCACATAAAAATAAATAAATAAATAAACAAACAAATAAATAAAGGTATTGTATTTATCTACTACTAAAAAGAAAACAAATTACCTACTGACTTTTTTAGCCTATTGACTTCTAAGTTATTGTATTAAAAATAATTAAAAAAAAATATGTTGGAAGGAATGACATATGTTTTGCAGAGGCTGAAGTACCAAGGCAAAGAGGATAAAATGTCAACACTGACTCTGGATTAACTAGAAAGTATACCTAGTTAGCAATTAATCTATCAATCGCGAGCTTTTTTTTTTTTTTTTTTTTTGGTAGATGGACACAATACGTTTATTTTATTTAATTTATTTTTATGTGGTGCTGAGGATTGAATTCTGTGCCTCACATGTCCTAGGCAAGTGCTCTCTACCTCTGAGCTACAGCTCCAGACCAACTCTCCTGAGTTTTTGTTTTGTCTCTTTCTTCATGTTAGCTGACAGTGCTTTTTTTTATAAAGCATTTTGAACAGAGGCAGTTCTTAACAGATTTGGGAAGCAGCATGTTAAATCAAGGGTTGAAGAGAAAGTCTGAAGTTTATTTCTGATTCATTTTATATAACATTTCTTTCTGCTTTATTTCTCTAGATAATCAAAATGAAAATCACATAAAAAACGATGAATTATCCCACTAAAAAGTATTAGGTGATCAAGGACAAAGCACAGGATAACTTCCCTAGGCTAGTCCTCCCATTCACAAAATGAAAAGGCTATTTTAAGTGTTGCCAACTTTTAGGGATTCTCATGAGAACCAAACATAATAATACCCTAAAATATATTTTTAAATTTTGCTTATTTATTTTTTGGCAGAGTCTCACTATGTTGCCCCAGACTCAAGCAATGCTCTTCAGTTAGCTTCCTGCATAACTGGGGCAACAGATGCTGGCCACCACACCCAGCTACACTTAAATATCTTGAATGCATAATATTACATATAATTAAGGGTGCTGGAACATGGATTCAAATTCAAGTTCCATTTATTATTTCACCTTAAATAAGTTAAATTTAACTATTCTATTCCTCAGTTTGCTCATCTCCAAAATGAATATAATAATAACCATCTCCCTCACATGCTGCTTTGAGCACTGAATGAGTTTATACACTAATATGCTTAATGTAGCTCAGTAACTATTAGTTATTATTAAATATTACATAAACATATATATGAAAAAAAGTTTTTCCTGACCTGTTTCCTCCCTGCTCAGTGGTACCTGACCAACTTTAAATTCATATTTATTTATTTTTTTAAAAGAATTTTTTTTTTTAATATTTATTTTCTAGTTATCGGTGGACACAACATCTTTGTTTGTATGTGGTGCTGAGGATTGAACCTGGGCCGCACGCATGCCAGGCAATCGCGCTACCGCTTGAGCCACATCCCCAGCCCAAATTCATATTATTTATAATCTTGAGGGTATGATTCCATAAATATCCTTCCTAACATTAGGAAGTATTGTCCACATGCAGAAGGTAATGTATTTTAGTAAATATAGATGAGCTATGATCACAAAGATCATTCATTATGATCAATCTCATTTAAAAGGCTACTGTAGTAAAGCTGCAATATAATTGTAAATGCTGTAATAGTGGTTTAAGCACGAACAAAAAAGACAAGGCTAATTAGGGCACATGAAACTAGCAGTTGAGCTCCACGAGGACCCAGGAAGAATGAAGGGTATCAGATACACAGTGAGAGAAATAATATGATGGGCTTGTGACACATAGAGAAAGCTGTTAAAAATATTATAAATTATGTAGAAAATTAGGTCAAGGTCAGGCATGGTGGCACATGTATGTTATTCCAGAGGCTCAAGAGGCTGAAGCATGCGGATGACAAGTTCAAAGCCAGCCTCAGCAACTTAGGAGGCCCTAAGCAATTCAGTGAGACCTGTCTCAAAACAAAATATTTAAAAAGGGCTGGGGATGTGGCTCTGTGGTTAAGTATCCCTGAGTTCAATCCCTGGTATTGAAAAAAAAAAAAAAAGGAAAATTAGGTCAAATATTTTTAACTTTCACATGGCAGAAAAAAGAAAAAGCTGTAGAAGATTTTTAAATAAAGGAATGACTTCAGTAGTCTCTTATAGTTTATTCACCCTATAATCAGGAAGTGCTTCAAGTCTATCAAAATTTGTCCTCAATGCCAGGTGCACTGGTGCATACCTGTAGCCCCAGCTCTCAGGAGGCTGAGGCAGGAAGGAGGATCACAAGTTTGAGGTCAGCCTGGCTGTCTTGGCAAGACCCTATTTCGAAATAAAAAATAAAAAGGCTGGGGACATAGCTCCATAGTAAAGTGCTCCTGGGTTGAATTCCCAGTACAAAAAAAAAAAAAAGAAAAAGAAAAAAGAAAAAATATATAAAATAAAATGAGGTTCTTATAATGTAAATCCCTGCCCTGCTTTGGTCCTCTGCAGCAGGGTAAACTGGGGAGCAGAGTCAATACACTTTCATACATGTTTAGGCATATATATCACTCCTTAATATCATCTCCAGACAGTACTGCTTATTTTCTATTCCTTAATAGCCTATACCTTTTGTTTCAGCCAGCTAAACAATTTGAGAATTCCAATTCTTATCCCTATCCCATCTACAAGTGGAGTAAATTACTTCTTCCTAACTTCTTCAAAACTGCATTTATAGCTGGGCAGGGTGGTAGTGTGTGTCTATAGTCCCATCTACTTGGGAGGCTGAGGCTGAAGGATTATCTAAATTCAGGAGTTTGATGCCAGCCTGGGCAACATAGTGAGACATCTCATTAAAGAAGAAGAAAAACAAAACAAAACAAAACAAAAAAAGCCAGATGTGGGCGCACACCTGTAATCCTAGAGACTCAGGAGGCTGAGGCAGGAGGATGGGAGGCTGAAGCAGGAGGATCATGCGATCAAAGCTAGCCTCAGCAACCTCAAGGCACTAAGCAACTGAGTGAGACCCTATCTCTAAAATAGGGCTGGGGATGTCGCTCAGTGTTGAGTGTCCCTGAGTTCAATCCCTGGTACTGCCTCTGCCGCACCCTCTCTCCCCCAAAATAGAAAGAAAAACAGAATGAAACAAAAAACATGAAAACAAACAAATAACAAAAACAAAGTTAATTCACTTTCCTTAAGTGGATACTGATTTTAATTACAGCCTGTTAAGTACATCTATTCCCATAAAAATGTTACTGAAATCTATATACATCTTAAATATATATATATTTTTTTATTCACTGATCTGTCTTATCTCTGTCCCCATTAAGCTTCTAAGATTATCTCATTACTATATTTATTTGTTTAACCAGTTATCTTTGCATGGTTATCATACCATATTTGACAGATGAAAAAAAGGGCCCCAATTATGAGAATAAACTACTTTTCCTCCAAGTTCCTGACATTTTTCTCTAAAATCTAATAAAAAAAAAAATCACAGTTTGTAACAATGTCTGTTACTACTTTACTGTGTATATCATAAACATCCAGTGGTTTAGCTAACAAGATACAAGTATAATGCAGAGGTTAAAAAAAGTATCCATGCAATCTTAATCTTAATCTATTAGTGCTTTTTCTTTTTCAAATTTATTTTTTAGGTGTAATTGGACACAACGCCTTTATTTTATTTATTTATTTTTATGTGGCACTGAGGCTCGAAACCAGGCTCCGAGTACTTTCTTTTAAAAGGCAAAAGTATCTAATTTACTGTGTTCTACTTGGTGAGTTTACCACTTTCTAAAAGCTCAATCTTCAATTATACAAATTCTTGAGAAAAAAACAAAATTTATTGGTTAACTTCTTATACTAGTTGCTAAAGAAAAGAGAAGATATTCCTGTTCTTTCTAGAACACTGTAATCTAACAAAAGATGCAGGAAGCTGGGTACAGTGGTGCACACCTGTAACCCCGGCAACTCTGAGGCTAAGGCAGGAGGATTGCAAGTTCGAGGCCAGTCTTGGCAACTTATCGAGACCCTCAGCAACACAGTGAGATCCTGTCTCAAAACAGAAAATAAAAAGGGCTGGGACATAGCTCATTGCTAAAGTATCCCTAGGTTCAATCCCTAATACAAAGTTTAAAAAAAAATTCAGGAAGAGAATAAATGAAAAAAAATACATGCATACAAAACAGCACACATTTGAAATGTATAAGCAATCTGTTTATACATACATACTATTATAAATTAGTTACTGTGTTTTGGTGGCATACTCTCACACATACAAAATCATACACTTTCTCTTCTGGGTCCTAAATTACCTGCATGTAGTTTTCAGCAGTTAATTTTACTGTCAGGAATAGAGATTGGCCCCTACAATCAGGAAAGAGTATCACAATCTTGTTATTTTTTTTTTCTACTTCCCAAACAATATTGACGCCAAAAATGTATTTCTGGCAAGCTCATAAACAAGAATAAAGTAATCAAATATTTCTTTAGCAAGGCCACTACATCTTTCCTTTTTCTGTTCAGTCAGTGGTAATTCCTCCAGTTATACAGCAGCTGTAAGCCCACAACAACATACCTGGGAGCTTGGCTGCTTGGGCTCATCCACTCTCCCAGGAGACTCACTTCGGGCTCTGTGTCTCTCAGCCAAGGGGACAACACTGCCGGAGGGGCTGAATCTGTTGGAGAGGAGCATAAAGGTACTATAGAAAAGTAGTGGCTGGGGAAGGGACAACCAAGCAACTGATGACTGAAAAATACTTTCACAGTCAATATATAACCTGGTTTGAAATAAGGTAAAAAAGTCTGTCCTAGTAAATTTAAAAAAGTACAAAATGCATAGTAAGTCCTATGAGCTGGTGAAACTATAGCTAAATATAAGCTTTCTACCCCTGCATAAGTAATGGAAAAGGGGTAAAAGAATAAATAAAAAATGGTTCTGTAACATTGAGTTTTTGGTTGTTCTTTCCCCTAGACCCCATTGTGGGAAGCCATTCTCGCACGTGATTGGGCACCTCCCGATTGGGTGTGAGGTGTTTTGGCCAAACTGTGTCGGAGCTATCCCCACCCTCTCCATCCCCACCCTCTCCAGGTGCGAGAGCCTGTCCGTGTGGGGGTGTGACTGACCATTGACCCTGAGACCAATCACTGACCCTGACCTTGGAATGCTGCCCCTCTCAACCTTCATTGGATGGAATTTTCCCCCTGAATTTCTTGTTCCCCAATAAAAAGCCACTCCCTGGTGTGCTCTCTCTCTCTCTCTCCTGCTAGTCCTGAGTAAGCCTTGCTGCCCCACTGGATGGTTTGAGGTGAGAGCCAGAGGGGAGAGCCGTCTCAGACCTGGTCATAGAAAAAGGTAATTGAGTCTGTGTGTTTATTTTGATCTCACTAGTTAACTTCTATGCTACGAACCTCTTTAATGAAACCAGCATGCTGGTCGCGTGGTGGACCCCATTATAACCTGTTACGTATTTCAGACTGTTGACATACATCATGGAAAATACAATCCTTGCATTTAAATTGATATTTTTGGTGAAGTTCTAACATAGGAAAATACAGTGCTAACATTGGGACCAATAAGTTGAACGTTCAAAAATATATATACATATATATTTTTAATATATATATTTTAGTTATAGATGGACATAATACCAGGGCCTCACACATGCTAGGCAAGCACTCTACCACTGAGCTACTACCCCAGAATATTTTAACTATTAAAGGCACACTTAATAGTTAATTACCTAAATCAAAACCACCTTAAGAAGATACAGTATAGTATCTGAATGTGTGAAACAGTAGTGTCTCCAAAGATCAGCTATATGCCAAAGAAATGGTATCCTYAGTTTTCATTGCTCAATTTTAATTAATTAATTAAGTTTTTGGAACTAGGGATTGAACCCAGTGGCATTTACCACTGAGCCACATCCCCAGCCCATCTTTTTTTTTCAATTTGAGACAGGGTCTTGCTAAGTTGCTGAGGCTGGCTTTGAACTTGTAATCCTCCTGCCCCATAGCTTTCTTAGTTGTTGGGGTTACAGATGTGCACCACCATGCCTGGCTAATTTTTACTTACTTTTAAGAGGAGAAAGAACAAATATTACAATATAAATTATTTCTCTGTTTCAATTGGCTTAGATTAAAATTAGTGCTATTTCCATCAAAGAGAAATGTTCTAAAAAATTTGATGTATTAGGAAGAGAGAAGTGAGGTACAGGACACAGTACCACTGGTGAAAAAAGGTCAGTCTCAGGTCTGCAGTAGCAGCATTCATCTTTGACAGAGAACAGGTAAGAGACCACCAGATGACAAGTGAAAATAAGAATGAAGAATATCTAAAAAGCTTTTCTTTGGATTCAGTGTACTATGTTGACACTAATGTGAAACAAACAATCACTGATGATACCACACTTCCTCTAATTTGTTAGGTGGGTGCAAAGAAAAGCATATAGTGCTACAAAGGAAAGTTTAACTTCCCAAGGCACATACCTGTGTGATAACAAAGGAAGGGCAATGCTGCCAGGTTCCTAACTGATGATCAGTTCCCTGCTGGGAATCCTGAGAAAGCCCTGGCAATGACTGATCCTAGTGTGGCTGCAGATGTTGATTCATGGAGGTGTCTAACTTTACCCTAGTTCTCACAGCATTGTGAATACGTCATGACTAGGAGCTTCCTGCTTTAAAAAAATAAGGATACAGGTCTGTTGGACACCTCAAATCCCCAACATCAACTTATTCTGGCTAAGTACATCTGGTAAACATGTCTGTATCACACAGAGGACCCTCTTAGTGATGTCTGTACAAGAGCCATTAAAAGGGAAAAAAACTCAGAACTTACCTGTCAACTTCACTGCTTGTTGGCCGAGCCACCTTGGCTCCTGAAGACCCTAAGGTGTAACTCTCCTGTCCTACAGAACCATGGCCTGTGGTGTCAATTACCATGGCTGTGACTTCCTCTGCACTACTCCCATCTTCTCCAGAAGGCTGATTCTCAGGCCCAAGCCACTCCTCGAGATTTTCAGTTTTGATGTGCACTGCTCCAAGAACTCTAACTTCATCATCACTCCGGCCACCCCGGTCTGCTACTCCTGTCTCCACATACCACTGTCCTGCTCGGTTGATTCGAAGAATGGGCTCCCGGCTTTCTACATCAGAACTCTGTTCAATTATCTGAGGGCTGGTGGACTCCTCAGGGGGACTTAGCTCTCTGATATCTAGCACAGCACTGACCTGCCCTCGCCGGTTTCCCTTTGGGGTATTATGTCGTGGGCTAAGGGAGCGGTTTAGATTTGGTGTAACCCTGTGAGACTCAGGAGGCCTATCTTGATGCTTTGTCCTTGTTTGACTTAATTCTGCTTCAACCTCAGCCACATTAATTTTGAAATGAATACCCTCTAGGATCTGTGTACATTTGTCTATAATATGCTGCATTTGCAGAAAACTGGCAGCTGTTAGGTAGCTGATGATATCTGCCAGTTGCAGGCATATCCGCCCCGTGTAACAGAAAGAAAGAAGCTGTTCAAAAACAGTAGGGTTCTTGATGACTGAAATGGAGACAGTACTCATTTCATTCAAGGACATATGATCCCGGAAATAGGGGGAACTGGCAGCCAGTACCACTTTATGAGCCCGAAAAGCTTGTCCTTGCACATTGACCACAATATCACAGAGACGGCCCTGCATGCGCAGTTGATTTAGATGGCTGAGGACTGAGTTGCTGAAGTCAGGGATCTCCAATTGTATGTTCCCACCTTTCTCCATGGTCGTGCCTGAAGGTGCAGGCAGGCATTCAACCCTGCTGAAAGAAACCGTGTTCTCATTAATCATAATTTTATTACCCTGACGCTTTTTAGTTCAAACATACTTAAAAATATCATTTGGTAAAATCTCCAAATACAAAGAGATACCTTATGTTGAGATATGGAAATCATATTACCAATAGGTTTTTTTATTCTGTTTCACAGCAAGATAGTTAACGTTAAAAAAGCAATCTTTAGACTCTTAAAAATTCAAACTATGATCATGCTTTCTTTATACAACAGCAAAACAGAAATTTGACAAAAGGGAGGAGGGATGTTAATGGCAATGTATTTGCAGACTGAATATAAAGTCCTATGACAACATTACAACTTTGAAGGAGGAAAGCTTTTTGAATAAATGTATCTACACACAGATAGACTGACTGGATATACCTCTTAACGTTTTAAAACATGCTGCTTGAGTTATGCTTATTACTTTGTAAAGTGACTAATATCCCATATGAATGCAGGCCAATTTTTAAGTTTACAAGTCAGAGCTCCCACAGTAAGCCTTTGGATATGGCACTCTGAGGCAAACCCTACATTAAGAAAAATTCTGCAGCTGTGTCTGGAATCAAATCAAAACACAGAGAACTTCAAAGTTCAGTTCTCAAAGTTAGGAAAGATCATGAAATCTGCCACTATTCGAATTCGAGGTTGGGAATTTCAGAGTGGTGATGATACTTTGATCCTGAAATTTACTTCCCTAGAGCTGGTAACAATAGAACATTTACAAATACATCGAAAGAATGCAACTGCATCCAACTGTTTTTAATAGTTTATAGAGTACAGTTTGTAGAAATCCCATAAAGAAGACAATGCTTTAAGTCCAGTGCACCTCCACTTATCTAAAGTTTTATATTCATAGTTGCATATGCCTTGAAACTGCAGGAACTTATCCTAAGAAGCTCACAGCATTGCCCCGCATTGACAACACATTTATCAGTAAACAGGGAAGTGTACACACTGCTTTCAAGAACCAACTTTAGCCAATCTGACCTTTTTCCAAAGCGTTATTGTTTGTTTTGAAACTTTTAATCCAATAAGAGCCTCTGTCGATGCCATCATGAATTCAGATGTGTTTATTTTGGAGCCTACACCAGCGCCTTTTTTGTTTGCTCTTTCCGGCAATTCCCCAGTGAGGAGGAAGACCCTGGAGTAAAGTCTTTCTCCACCGTCGGCACTGGAGGAGTGAGAGCTGAAAGAGGGAGAATCGGGATCGCCATGGGGTTGGCCACTCTGGAACTTGAGCGGCTTTCGTCTGCGTTAGGAAGCGTGGGGAAAGGGAACTGGCTGAGGGGCGACATGTCACGTAGGAACGAGGAGCGGGCGCAAAGGTGAGGGCTGAGCACTGGGAAGGGGGCGGCGCCCCGGGCCCGGGTCCAGGCGGTGCGTCGCGGGCGGGGAGCGGCCGGAGGTGGGTGTGTGCATCTGGGTGTGTCCCGGCGGCCCGGGGGAGGGGGCCGCCCACCCGGGGTCTTGAGGGAGGGGCCCCGCGAGAGGGCGGGTCTGCGGCTCGGCCCGGCTCGGGGCCAAAGGGGCGGAAGGTCGCCGGTGCCGTGAGGGGCGGTGCGGGGAAGCGCCTGGGTGTCGCGGGAGCGGGCTGCGGCGCAGACGGGCGGGGCAGCCACGGGGCAGGGCGGCGGGGCCGGGGAACGGGTCTCGAGCCCAGTAGAGGAGCAGCACCTACCTCCGGGGGTGGAAATGGGCCGGAATGGGCCGGAACACCGTCCCGGAAGTGAAACCCCCCGCCCCCTCCCCCGGAGCGGGCGACGTGCCGGAAGGAAATCGCTCACCCTTATACCGTCCCCCTCCCCCAGCGCTTTCCGTTCGCGCCCCCTCCCCTCTCAGCGTTTCCTCCCGGGCGAGGAGGAGGGCGGATCCCAGCGTCACGTGAGCGGTCGTGTCCCCGCCCCAAATTACGATGTCGGGCGGGGCCTTGGGAGCGGGCGGGAGGTGGGGCTGGAGGAGGAGGAGGCGGCTTAGAGGGGGAGGGGCGGAGCAGCAGCGGTGAGGGGAGGAGCGTGCGTCGTGACGTCACGAGGAAGAATGCTTTTATACTGGAGTTCGGGCGCCATATCGTTCTTTTGGTGCTTCGAGTCTGGTCGGCATTAGGTAGGTTGCTGCTTTGAGGTGGTTGGAAGCGGTCGGCTCTTGGGAATCCTTAGGAGTTTGGGCCTTCCCGAACGGGTTGCTTTGCTAGGCCTAAGGCGCGCATTTGTAAGCCTCTCAAGGCGGAGAGGGAGATGGCGTGTTGGGAGCCCGCGCGACCTAGATAGCTTTGGGATTTGGGGGCTTAAGCTATGAGGAAGATGCGGCTCGAGTGCCCTGCCTGTGATGAAGCCTTTGTTGGTAGGGACATCTGAAGAGTGTTGAAGAATGCCAACGGCTCTGAAGGCGGCCGGCGCCGAGTCGCCAGAGTAGGCCTTTGTTCCAGYAATGGCGCTGGAGCGGCTCGATCTGAGGGAAGGACAGAAGAGCCCACGTGGTTCTTTTAGGTGGCTGGGTTCCGCAGTGCACCATTTTTGGTGCATAACAGCGTATTTCTTGCTTGCATATTCATGTGTATTCACGATTTTATCAGTGGTTCTTTAGTTGCATTGTTATTTTGCAACATGAAGTGCATCATTTACTTAAGCCTATGGTGGTATGAACTATCGGTCTTAGATAGTAACAAAAGTGGTGAAACATTAGCTTAAATGGAACGAATGAATGTAAGGTCTAACGTATTAGAAATGGTATGGGGTAGGTATGTAATGTGGGTTATTTTGTGTAGACACTGGAAATTCAACCCAGGAGCTACATCTCCAAACGTTTTTCCGTTTAGAGACGCAGGGTGTCCCCTAAAACTATCTACTTGCTTCAGCATTCCGAAGTAGCTGCAGTGTGGCTCTGGATGGCATCTTGCGTGCAGGTAAGAATGAAATATGCATAGAGATAGCTCTTATATTAAGCCTATGATGGTGTAAGAGTAGTGGACAGAAGGGATTTCTGAAAATTTTGATTCTGAGGCTTTAATATTTCGAACATGTAATCTGATTTTTAATTCACCCAAGGATGTTTCTCATTGTTTGTATTATTTGTTTTCTAGATAGATGCCAAAGGAATGAATASTAAGGTGAGATGCTGAAATTTCCTCAAGGGATTTAGATTAATTGCTTAATGTGCTACAATGATGACATTTATTTGCTACTCTTGACTGCAAGAATGACGATAGACTAAACCACCATTATTTCAACTGAGGCACACAAAATAGTTATTTGGGGACTGTAGAGATTGTACCTCGGTAACATGAAATTGTTTCTTCCCAGGTGAAAAAGAGCCTCTCCAGCAATGGACACAAGGTTAGAAACATTTATATACTCATGCATTATTTAAAATTGGAAGTAGACAAAACAATCTTATTAGCATTTCCCCCTTTGCAGATGTGATCTGCTCTAATTCCAAAATCAAAGGTCTGGGGGCAGGCGGAAGAGGCAGATACTGTGATGGTTGCATAGTTCAGCAGATTTAAGTCATGAAGAAATATACCTTTTCTGATGTATCTGGGATTGTTCATGGCTGTTAATTAGCATAAGCAATATGGCAATTAGCAACTTTAAGGTCTAAAATTTTTTATATTTTTTTAGGCACTAAATAGAAAASCAGAAATAGAAATGGTGAGTAAAGCATTCCACTAAACATAGGTAGCTGGGCAAAAAAGATGGCGTTTTTGGATTGCATTTTTTGTAGTAAGCACTCAAGCATGAGGGCTAAATTCATTAAATGCCAGTATCTTGCCTGTTACCATTTCTGAGGTCAGTGTGGCCTGGATGATGATAAGAAGATAACTGATTGAACKTGAAGTTTTTAATTAGCTCTAACTGATTTCGGGCATTGTTGGTTTGGGCTGGGAGAAATTGCRTATTTGGCTATTCTAAAATCACCCTTATTCATTAGGTGGAGGATGATTTCTTTGGATCTGCCTTATTTTTCTAGTAAGTATTGGAAAGCATTACCTGAGAATGCCAATAAACTGCATGCCTGTTGCATAATAAATTTAAAAGTGAATGAAAACTTGGCATATTTGAGCATGCTCCAAATGGGGGTTTTGTAATGATGTTGTTCAAATGTCTGACCTGAAATGAGCATGTAGACAAGTTTTATGCTGAAGAACCCAAGACATACAGTTTGAAGAGAATTGATGACATTTAGCATACTAATGAAGTTCCTCATACTTTGATTTGTAGTTCCTGGAAACACATTTTGATCTGGATAGCATGATTGGGTAAGACCACAAAAACAATTTTTCAGTTCCTGATGTCTTAGGTTTATAGTTTTGAAACATAATTTTACTAATGAATTGTTAAGTCTAAGGATTATTTCTTGTTAAACCAGTAGACCAGAAATAACTTTACTGTATATAAAGTAGATTTAACAATTACAAGTATTTGTAAATAAGGTAAATAACTATTTTCAAAGTTAGTATGAAACTGTTGGGAAGAAGTTTCTAAAGCAATAACTTTACAGATTGGAGACCTGTTTTCTTTTAATATTTYAAAGTTGTTGATGGACCTTTATTATGTGATGCTGAGAATCGAACACAGTGCCTCATGCATGCCAGGCAAGTGTGCAGCCACTGAATCACAACCCCAGCCCTGAGACTATTTAAAGGTATGTGTCATTTATCTTAATACTTACTTTGTAATGTGCTGTTAATGATGATTTAAAGGTGAAACAGATGGGAATCTCTCTGAAAGAGAATGAAGATTAACTTTAAACTGAAACAGTAGTTAGAAAATATTTAGAAATATCTTTGTTAAAAACCTATTGCTAAGTTAGACTAAATTCCTGCAGGTACACAGACTCAGCTTGGGAAGCAGTGGCAAGAAGTTTTAAGCAAAGGTACATCAGTCTCAAGATTTTTACTGATGGGGTGAACTAAGGCCTTGCATATACTAGGTGGGTACCTCAGGCCTCMAGTTGGATATAGACTAGATGTTCTCAAAGCCGATACAATGATGATAACATAGTTCAGCAGATTTTCACTGATGAGCAATCATGTCTTTCGCTCCTATCTGATGTATCTGGCTCAACAATCCAACTCATTCTGTTAATGACCTTTTATTGTCCCCATACAAAATTTTTATGAACTTGGTACTATAATGACTGTTTACAGGTCCTATCCTGTATTTTCCATTAATGCCAGGAGTGAAGCTGGACAAGGTGTGTCTATGATCCTCCTATCTACACTGTCCTGAGGGATGACCATCTCATGAGCCCAGGAGATAGTGGCCAGGAGAAGCAATAATGAGAACTCTTGAATTCATGATTGGGTCCTGAGATCTAGGTATGTCRAGATTTAGTACATATATTACATATTTTAGTATGTAACCGGTGATGTAATGATTCTGCCAAATGAATGCAATGATATCACTTTCAAAACCGTTCCATTTTTTATTCTGAGGTTACTACACCTAAAAAGCGTCCTGTAACATTTTTTTGCCATGATTAATATGGACTTTTTTGTTTTAGGGCTTTTGTGGCAGCTGCAGGGATATCACTTAACCCTTAGGTAAGTATTAGAAATATCAGCACTAATTACTATTCTGAATACATGATGATCTCACCCCAACTTGAACTCTCTCACTGATCACTTGATGACAGTAAAAAGATCTGATATTCTGTGTTCCCCAAGTACCATTGAAGTTGTAATCTGGAAATGTGGCTAAAAAAATTTTTTTTGTTGCAGGTAGCTGGATGGATGCTCGCTCTTTGGATAGAAGATTGAATGTCATCACTTTAAGTTTCTGAAGAGATCTGAGTCTAGTTTTGGGCTGGGGGTTAAACCCATGAAGTATATTTCAAGCATGATGGGGAAGGGAATAAAGGTGCCTAATAAAAGTCACTAAGGAAAATTTTAGTGCTTTGTCATTTTGAGTTGAGATAGCCTGTACAAGTCATGAACACTATTGCTTCATTATCAGTACAGGCAATACACTGGTATTGGGTGTCTTAAAGGTTATTTTCTGCTTGAAATGCCATATTTAATGCCAACAGAAATAAGATCTGCTCAGGATGAGCCATATATTTGAAGGATTCATTATGGGGCTGAAAGACTGGTCAGTGCTTTTTACTCTAAAGTACCTGAAAGACAATAAATCTCAAGTCATGGAGAGAACTTGAGACTAAGGGAAATATCAAATTTGGATTATCTCTGCTTAGTGAAACCTCCCAAAGAAAAATGTTTTTGAGATTTTCTCAAAGTAATAGGTCATTGAAATACCTGTCAGCCAAATATTTGGACAAGAGGGACATAAATTGTTATGTTAAAAGTGATATATCCTATAGGATGGATAACATTAGATGAAGTTTTTCGTACTTCTCAGTGGAGCATTTGCCTTATATTTTTTTGCCTAACTGCAAATCTGAAGTGATGTGTTTTGTCAGTGTGGATTGCCAGTCAACTCTTGGTTTTGTGATAAGCAGAATGGCCTTGTTTCTACCACATTCATCTTTGAACATGCCCTTTACAGGTTTTCAGGACACAGTTTAAATTTATCCTTGCTCCATGGTGTAACTCCTACTCCTCAATGCTTGGAAAAAAACAAACCCAATGTGTGACTGCATGGAACTGAAGAGCTTGGCCAAATGATAGGAATTTGTAAGGCATGTCTTGAAACTTGATCACTAGTCATAGAAATATATATAGGATATGTATCTGCAGTTGCTCAGATGTCCCACCTAACATTTTTATAGAATACTTTGTTACAAGAAAATGGTGAGGGAGCTGGGGCTCAGCAGTAGTGCCCTTGTCTGGGATGAGTGAGGCACTGGGTTTGCTCCTGCACCAGTCAACTAAAAAAAATKAAGGTCTGATGTTTCCAACTCTTTAATGCTGAGTGATGATCCATTGTGTATATATACCACATTTCCATCTGTTGAAGGGTATCTTGGTTGCTTCCAGTTTACCTACTATGAATTGAGCTGCTATAAACATTGATGGCTGTGATACTGTCTTTTGGGTATCTACCAAGGAGTAGGATAGTTGGTTCCTTAGTTTCCTAAGGCATCTCCACTGCTTTCCAGACTGGTTGCACCAATTTACAGTCCTACCAGCAGTGTATGAGTGTGCCTTTCCCCCCACATCCTTGACAATGTCTATTGTCTGTATTCTTAATAACTGCCATTCTGTTTTTTTTTCTTTTTACAAGTTATTTTTTTACTGATATTCAACAGTTACCTTGTCATTGTCTTAATGGTTTCTAAATAGTTATACTCAATCTGTTTATCACATGCACATTAACAGACTATGCTTTGAGGATAATGATAATGGGTGCAAATCATTCCCTTTCCCACCTCCCAGGCAGAACTTCTCATATGTTTTTCTGTCCCTCTTGTTGGAGTTAATCCTACTAGACTTGCCTGCATAGTCAAGGCCATGGAAAAGTTAGTTGGGTCTTGAGACCTACAGTATTATGTAAGAGTAGGCTTGGTCTTCTTGGATTCCTCTAAGTGGATCATATCTAAGATGACTCTTTCTTGCTAGAATTGATGGCTTGCTATCTATGATTCTGTAGATCACTCATTTTTTGGTAGCTCTTTTGTCTCCCACATCAGCCTGTCCATGGGCAGTCAGATTAGCAGTATGTGAGATGAAGCTGCAAATACTGTTTCCTGGGTCCAGAAACTTGCCCATCATCTATAGTGCTATCTCATAAGCATATGTAGCATTTTGTTCCTAGTGAACTCTTGAGGTAAGATCCATTGTGGATTCTTTACAAAGTGTCTAAGATGTTACCATGCTTTGCCATGATGTTTCCTGTGCCATGTTTCTTGCCTRCCTCAGCAAAACATGACATCTAGCCAGAGCACCTAGTTTCTAGAAGAGGTGAGTGCATCTGTCACTCCTGTTCTCTTGGATGACAAACAAGGTCAATGTTAGAGTATATTTGCATTTCTCCAATTGCTAGAGATGAACATTTCTATTCAGCTCCCTAGTCCATTTAAATTGGAGAATATCATGCTAAGCAAAGTAAGCCAGTTAAATTCTCTTGGAGGCTGAGGAGACTGAATTTGAAATACTCTTGGTTCCCAGTCTATAGCTTATGCATTCCAAACTTAACGCATTTATTTGTTTTTAAAGAAAATGCTTAATTTCAAATATCACCTTACCACAATGATGTCTTAAATAGTAACATATACTTAGATTTCAGTAGTGGTCCCCCCACCCCCAAATGGTCTGAAGTTGAGTAATGCCCAAAGTGATTATTTCTGGTATGTCAGGGCAGGACTGTCTCCCAGAGACCTAGGGCCTTTGGTATTTGTATTCCAGAAAAGATCTGGATTGTGGGTCTCTTCTGTAAACAGCTTGCTTCCAGGACAGTTTGGTGAGAATTAGGCATTGAACAATAAATATATATGTATTTAGAAATTAGCCAACAACCTTAGATGATATTGATGAATGTAAAATTTTCTTATTATAAAGGGCATCTCTAGAAATTCTACTGACAAAGGGCAGGCAGAATTGGACACCTCACTAAGGGAACCTTGCCAGCAAGAACCAGCAAATGAGGGAGACACAAGGTTAAAAAAAAAAAAGTTTAGGGAAAAGCTCTAATAGTGAATCAATTTGCTGTTGTAGGGAAAAACATTCATAGCTTTTTTTTTTTTTTTTGAGAGAGGGAAGCTGTACTGGGAATTGAACCCAGTAGTAGCACTTTACCAGTGAGCCACATCTCCAGCCATTTTTATTCATTTAAAATAAGGTTTATTTAAAATAAAGAGGTTCTTTGTTTAACTGCTGAGGCTAGCATGGAATTTGTGATCCTTCCTTGGCCTCCCAAGTCACTGGCATTATAGGTGTGTGTGCCATTGTGCCTAGCACTCCATAGCTTTCTAGGTGTCACAAGTTAACTGGGTGGAGTCTTATTTTCTTATAGTGTTATATTGCTTAGAGTGTTGAGAAAATAAGGACATAAAACTGATAGTGTTTATAAATTATAAATCAAAGGAATTTTATCAAGGCAGAAGATCAAGTAGAATTTCAGTATTGAGATTAATCTCATTTTATAATTATTAAATTTTTATTTTTATCAATAAAATCACATTTTTTATATTTGAAGTTGGTCTAAGGTCAGTATTTATAATTGAGGGAAAATATTCAAGGACTAATGATTATCCCTAAAAATTGAAACAAAGAATACTGATTCATAAATCCTTTTTTCTTTCTGCAAGAGCCCTACTAAGTAATCAGGGCAAGTATTGTTTGCATTTTACATAAATAGGGAGGCTATAAAATTTGCTTAATGTGAAACCAGACTTCATGACTGATTTTGTGTGTGTGTACACGCATTATATTATGCTACTTATTTAATATATTGATGGTTGAAATGTCATCAGGGCTGGATGAACTGAAACCCTCCATCAAGTGGCAGTCTAGAGAGAGAAGCATTTTTCTATATAATTTGATTTCCTGTTCTGAGTAAATCTACCATCTGAACATGAAAAACATGATTAGAAAACACTAAGCCACTATATTACTCCAATAAAGAGCCTTTTTGGGGGATGCGGTAGTAGGGCACCAGATATTAAACCCAGGGGCACTCAATCACTGACCCACTCCCCAGCCCTATTTTGTATTTTATTTACAGACAGGGTCTCACTGAGTTGCTTAGCATCTTGCTTTTGCTGAGGCTGGCTTGGAACTCATGATCCTCCTGCCTCGTCTCCTGAACTGCTGGGATTACAGGTGTAAGCCACAATACCCCGCGAAAGAGCCATATATATATTTTTAACTCCAAGTAAAAAGGAACTTACAAAAAAGTCCCAACCAAAAAAAAAAAAAAAAAAAGCATATTGTGAAATTTTGATACATTATTGTGAAGAATCCTTCCTGGGTTATATTCGCCTACAGACTTGTCAGATGAGTGACACATCCAGATTTGATTTTAGCCTTGGTGAAGCAAAGAGGACAAAACTCAAGTTCAACTTTCTGGATGGTGTGAATGATTCAATGAGCTCCTTTCTGCTTCTGAGTCTGCTGGCCAGGAGACCTGGATGTGATAGGGCTTCAGTTCCTGAGGAGAAACAGAATCTGGGGCGTTGCTCATGAGGTCATGTCCCCGGAAGGATTTTGGGAAGGCTATGACATCTCTGATGCTTGCAGCTCCAGTGATAAGGCACATCAGTCTGTCTAGCCCTGTGAGTAGAATACAGTTAGCCAATGAGAAACACATAGTAATCAAATGTTGGGAATGTCTTAGTTTTTCTATAAAATTTGTAGAGAACTTTATTTTTGGTGATACTGGAGACCAAACCCAGGGCATCACATATGCTAGGCAAGCACTCTTAACACTGAACTACAATTCTATATATAACTTCTAAATAAAATCTAGGCTGCACCAACCATAGTATTCTGTTTTTACAGAACTGAACTGGACATGGTAGTGGTGTATGCCTGTAATCCCAGTGRCTTTGGAGGCTGAGGAAGGAGGATTCCAAGTTTGAGGCCAGCCTGAGCAATTTAGCAAGATTCTGCCTCAAGGAAAGGAGGGGAAAAAAAAAAAAGCTCGAGGTGTAGCTCTGTGGTAGAGTCTCCCTGGGTTCAATCCCCAGTACCATAAAAACCTTTCAAATGCAAAATTATGTCAAGTTTTAACTAGTAAAATATACTWTTAGGGCATGTGCTTTTAGCATGTGTGAAGTTCTGGTTTCAATCTCAAGTACCAAAAAAAAAAAAAAATACATACATAAAAATATATTACTGAAATTAAAACAAACTTACATTCTCATAGAACGCTTGACCTCAACTCCACCCACCACTTATCATAGGCTAAAAACCCCAACTTGAGACAGTGCTATGGAATGAAATGTAGTTTATAAATGTACAAGTTATTTACCTAAGGCAATTCCTCCATGAGG